AGGCTCCAACTAACTTTATATTTTTACATAAATATATAATCCATATACTATTATTTTAAAATTTATATTTTAAATAATTATAAATGTCTTTAGTAAAATTACTTTAGTATATTTTTCTAAATAGTTTATTATTTAATTTTATCACATATTTAGATTAAATTAAGTTAAAAAATTATTTTTTAACTTTTAAAATAACTTTCATTAAGCTTTTGTATAAATGTAAATTATGAAATAGTTATAATTTTTAGGTAATTTCACTAAGATATTTAATATTTCTTTATTATATGTACTTAAAAAATAAATTATAAAAAAAGTATTATGTTTTACATAATTTTGTTAAAATAACAAGAAATTTGGAGACTTAAATTGAAAAGTAGAATGTAAATGTAGGCCTTATATTGAGAATAATTTAAAAATGAAACCCTCAAGTGAAAGTATTACAACTATTTTTATCATTGTTATAGCTATTGTTTATATGATTTTAAGGTGTTTAATTATGACTCTCATGTCAATTAGTTAGTATTAGATAAAGAACACTTAAAAAGACAAAATTATTTTATTTTAGAAAAAGTATTTTAAAGAAAAAAAATTGTAATACAATTTCTTATTTGTAACTTCCACATACTATTTAATGTAAAGTTATAATCAGTTAGTGTTAGTAGTAATATTATAAATAAGTTAGTTTAAAATCATTATTACACTTTATTAATGTAAAATGTAACGTTTTTACATTAATTGAAAAATGAGCGGGAAAATGAATAGAGGTTTTATTAAATGCTATATGTCAGCAATTATATATATATGTATATATATATATATATATATATATATATTCTAGATTAACCATCTTCAAGGGTTAAAATTCACAAGTCCTAATTTATCTCATAAATTAGAACACTCAATAAATAAGAACAACTTATTTAGCTTTTAGCCAAAAATAATTAAAATTTTACAATAATTGTAAGATGACATTTATTACGGTCTATTATGCTAAGAATACATCATATTTCGACATAACATATTGGTCAATGATCATAAATAACTTAAATCTGGCCTTACTCAATTAATGGTCCAAAAATTAGATTCTTATGGATGTCTTGGACATGAAGAACATCCACGAACTCCAGTATTTATTACCTGCACAATACCTTGTTGGTTCTTGTAACACATGAAGTCGAGAGATTACACAAATACTTCCTTTCGTATTTAGTGTTGTAGGACAACATTTATATGTGCCTATGGGTCAAATGGCTCTTGTTCTTATCCACTATAAATGTGGAACTTTAAACAATTATATACTCAAACAACGACGGAAAGATTGAGCTCTAATAGGTATTATCTTGTCCTCGAGAATTCACATTATCCTTTACCCCTCTTCAGAAGTTAGTAACATTCTGAAAGGTACTTGGTTTATCACCATCGTAACGACATCCATTAGATTTCATGGCTTACCATTGTGATTTTCCATGAAAAATGTTTTTACGCTTTTTACATGAGCTCGGCTCAGCCAAGTTTGCATTAGCTTCTATCTCACTTCATTTGGCGAATACTTCGATCTTTGATTATTTTCTTCTATCCAAAGAAGAACTATCAAACCCCCGAGTTTCATCTCTTTGTGTTGATGCATGAGATAACTTTTGAAGTCTTTCTACAAAGGAGACAACTTTTTAACAATAGTAGCCACTTGAAATGCTTCGTTCACAGTCAATACCTCGACAAAAAAATGGTGAAAGATGATTTGGAACTCTTGTACTTGGTTAACTATCGACTTGGTTTCAACCATCAAGTACTTTAGAAATTCACCGATGAGAAATTTCTTAATCCCGATATCTTTTGTCTTGTACTTCACCTACAAGGAATTCCATAACTCCTTATTTATTAAATGGACTATACACATTACGCAGTGTGTTGTCTAGTCCTTTAAGTGTGAGATATTTACACAGAAAATATGCCAAACATGTGAGGTCGTACAGTTTTGAAAATCATACAATCGAGGGGGTCCTCCAAAAGAAAACGAGAGAGAGAGAAAGAGAGAGAGAGAGAGAGAGAGAGAGTTGTGAGGTAGAAAATCATCTTTTGTTGGCACCTCTTGAAATCAGAACCATTGAACTTCTGCGGTCTCTCGCCTTGGACGGGAGCGGCTACCATCAAGGTGAATGGATTAGTAGTCGGTGTAGCGGCCGGTTGAGTACTTTAAGAAGACATTCGGTTTCCTTTAGTTGCCATCTTATGAACTGAAAAAAAACGTCATAAGATTATAGTTTGTAAATCTCAAGAAGATGACTTAAGGAGAATGAAGAAACACAAACAAAATCAAAGTCGAGGCACGCAATAGTTACGTTCCCTTTAAAACGACATTGCCCTATAAAATACTCACGGTTAACTGCAAACGCCTCTAAAATACAATGATTTTTGACTTGTATATAGTGGTATTTCAAATATACCCACTGTTCGACGAACAATACTATTGTTTGGATCTTTCAAGACTAACGAAAAAATTAAAGAACACAATATTCTTTATGAACGTTGAAATATAAAGCAGGAGCTCTTAGTTTTCAAGTTACTGATGATTTCAAGCATGTGTGTATTTATAGATATAGAAAACATGTACAAAATGTTTAAGTGCCAAAAGACACCAGTTAAGACATACTGGAATGAGAATGGACATATCTAGATGCCAAGAAACACCTTATGGTCACAAACAGTCGCGACCTTTTATTGGTCACAACCGGCTGCGCATCCGTGCGCCGTGTGCTCAATTTAAATAATTTTTTTATTGGAAATAATGTTAATAGATTTTTTATTTTTTATTATAAAAAAATATAATAATTTATTTACTTTATATTTACAATATATATGTCAAATCAAAATTAATAATGGGATTCATTATTTGGTATATATTATATAAAAACTTTATAAGAATTTTAAAGAAATTATTAATCTTTAAAATATATTTAAAAATTATTTTTAGAGTCCAAAAATAGGGGGGAAAATCTGATGTTTTGTGCGTAGGAGATTAAGGTATATTGTCTTATGCTATCTCTCATATCATTTTATCCAAGTTAATAAATATTTAATTATTTTTGCCTTAAAATACATTGTATTTTGTAAACATTACATAAATGCTGACATGTAGTGCGTGGGTTAAATCTATTCAGTCCCATCTCATAAAGTAAAACAAAAAAAGCCAAAAACACTTAAATTTTGGTCCAGTTTGGAAGAAACGTGTCGACTTCTTATACCTGCTCTTTGTGGTGCTACGTTAGCCCACGAGCTAGATCACAAGTTTAGGTCTTTGATACAACCAACAATTAAGCACAATGAAATTAAAAGTGGACTAATAGCACAATAGCATCTCAAAGGTAAGTAAAAACATGACCGCCATCAGATCAATAAAACAAAATAACAGAGAAATTAGCTAAAAATCACATGAAGCACTGCACAGCTTGATAATTAAAAAGCCTCTTCATCAAATACTACATAAACTTCCATGTTCTAAGGAATAGTGCAGAAGCCACAAAGTGATAAAAGACTGTAAAACTACTAATTCATGCCTGCAGACAAAGTAGGGAAGGTCCATGTCCAGAACATATACCAAAGTCAATAGATCAACATATCAGAGTTGTTACGTAATAAAAATCGTGTTCGATTTATCGTCCTTGATGGCCCCTAGTCATCATCTTCTTCCTCCTGCACCAAAATGGACAAAAGAGTTATATTTGTTAACATGATAAGTAAATTATCATTCATCAATATCACAGATTAAACACTCATGTGAGCAACTGACCTCCTCACTGTCTTCCCCATCTTCTTCATCATGAATCTCAGACTTTGATTTATCCGATTCTTCATCACCTTCTCCAGCCTATATTACAATGTAGAAAAAAAAAAAATTGCAAGGTAAAGTATATGTTAGTTAATGAAAGCTAATGACAAATGTAACGGCAAATGACAAAGAGTTACCAGTTTTCTGTTGTAAGCTTCCATCTGTCGCTCATATTCCTTCTTCTTCTTCTCAGCCTTTGCCACAAAGGGAGCTTTTTCCTAATAAATTGACATTTACACATTTTGGTCAGAGGTTCCAGATGAACAAACTCGTCAAAGCAAAAATGAGTAACATTTCAGCATAAATGTCTGGATAACTAGATACAGTTACCTCATCACTCATAGACTTCCACTTTTCACCAGCAGCTTTGCCGACCTACATTTTGCCCCCGTTAAAAGTGTGAAATACTATAAACAGAGTAGGCTAATTCAAGAGTAAGAATATTAAATGAAAGTAAAACCCACAGCAGAAACTGATTTGTTTTTAGGGTGCTTTTCCTTGTATTCCTGCCTAAAGCCTTCCCTGCAATATGAGTATGAGCTTAAGAATATGAGAAAAACAAACAAATTACAGAACTTGTTCTTAATAAAAAAAAGGGCACCAAGAAAAATGTTGAAAAACCAATAGATAACAGTGCAATTAACATACATGAAAACAAAGAAAGCACTTGGAGCCCTCTTTGGCTTGTTTGGATCCTTTGCTGCCTGCTTTCCTTTCTTTGTCTGTTTCTTAACAGCAAGCCTAATTTCGTAATATCCACCGAAACAAGGTGAATAAGAAGTTGAATGAAACATGAAAAAAAAAAATGTTTGGTCCATTCCTAAAAGAATAAATAGCAAATAGTTTCATTTTGGATTAAAACAGCTACTCTCTCGTCAATACAAATATATACTTCAACCAAAATCACATAGGAATAGTAAGCCTGAAAGAAAGACACAATCATTTTATGAAAATTTAAAAAAAAAAAAAAAGCAACAGTTACTTT